GAGCAATGTGCAGGCAGCGACGCAGCCCCACAGACCAGGTGAACAGGTTTTCCCATATCAGCCTTGCATCACCCCTTGGCTGCTGGTGCTGGGGTTTGTGCCAGCTGCATTGGGCCAAGCGTCTCTGTGCATCACATGATCCTATTCTGCGCCGAATTAAAAAAAAAATTGTGAAGAACAATAACAATTTCTAGTGTGAATTTCTTGGAATAATCCTGGCAACCTCATGTATCATTTTAGATGTGTTTGAGAAGGTGTTTGACTAATCATGAGGAAGGAATTATTTGATCTCTTCCTCCCCAAAAGTAATTGCTTAAACAAAAGGCTTAAAACGTGAAAGTTGGTGGGGGTTTTTTGAGATCTAACAGAAACCTGTTTAATCAGGTGTACTTTACACTTTTTACTCTTGACTTAAGGTCTAACCAGCAGTGCAAAGGACATTTCTTGTTGTCCTTCTTTTCTAGAGAAGTTTCATCTTCAATCTAGGAATGAGCTGAAGATTTTGCAATGTTGGGGGAAAATCCCTCCACCAGATTTTGAACTTGCCTTAAGTACTGGGAAGGCTTAAGGGGAGAGCTCAGAGATTTGTGTTCTGAAATATTTTTCTTCCCCACTTTCCAAGTTTAGCTCTGGGACTCATCTGGAAAAATAAAAGAGGGAACAGATAGTTACCTGAAATGCCTTCCAATCCTGAGTGACCCTGCTCTTCAGGCTTCAAAATCTTCACTTTGAATTAAAATCTATGTGTGAAGTTGTGGCTGTTTCTCACTTTGTGGGGAAAAATCTGAACTTCCTTTAAGCCGGGTCTTTACCCAAAGTCTTCTATTTTTACCTCATTACACTTCCTTTTTCTGCTTAGAAGCAGAAGTTCAGAAATGATAACAGACCTCTTGCTGGCTGTGTTTCATCTCTGACCAGAACCCAAACAATCCTGAATGTTGAAATAAAACCTGCTGTGATAGTGCCAGTCTGTATCTGCATTGATAAAGTTTGGACAAGAATCTCCTTGAACTCAACGCTGGACCCTCTGATGTTGGCTTACTGTCTTGGTGCTTTGCTAGTCCTGGCTTTGTAGAACTTCTGTGAATTGGCTTTACAATGTGGTCCTGAATTTGTGGTAGCAACAAGGCTTTTTTATTTTCCCACAGTTGGTCCATATTTAGCATTTCCTGTATGTGCTTCCTTTGCATTGTGTGTTGAGCACGCTGAAAATAGGTAGAAACCTGGGCGTAAAGTAGAGAGGAGAGCTAAAGAACGTTGTCTAAATCGTTTGCAGAAGTACAATGGAAATATTAGAGGATTCTTTTGTGTAAAACATCCTGTAGGAAGATTAAATTATGAAGCAGACTGTCTATAGGCTGTACTTTAGAAGTACAGGCCTACTGGCAAAAGCTAGGACTGGAGTTACGCAAAAGAGCAGGGCTTCACGTCCTCTGAATATGACAAACGATTAACTTTGCACTTTGCACATTAACTTTTACACATTAACCAAGTCACAAGGCTGTTCCGTTGTGCACGTTTTGGCATGACATTGCTGCTGAATGCAGATGACTCATTTACTTGCCAGAAACATGGCTTATGCTTTATTTGTACCCTGGCTGTTCAGTCTGTGCTGCCTTTCCTGCGGTAAAGTCACCCCTGCTCCCTTTCCCCAGGGACTCCTTTCCTCCATCGTGAACCTTTCTGAGGGTCTCACGGTCCTTCTGGTTTTCTCCTGGGGCTGTGGGCGCTCAGGGGTTGATGACAACCGTGGTGGGACATCCCCACCCTGCGTGCTGAGCTGCACCAAAGGCCGATGGCCTCAGGAAAAACCTTCTTCTTGGTGGCTGTGCCCAGATGCAAGCGCCTGGTTTCAAAGTACGCATGCAGGAGGCTTCATGCTGCTAGTGGCCAGCTCCACCTTTGGTTTAGGGTGACTACCTGGGAGTACTTTCTCTAGCCTGGAATTTGTAAAGCCATTAACACGGCTCTGTGTTAGGTTTGTGGTGATGGCAGCAGCAGAGAGACCAAGGATGAGGTGATTTTGGGGTACAAACACAGTGGCTGGGAGCATCGCCATGTTGTGTCTGTATTCATGGTGGAGGATTATGACTTGGTGCATGCTGGGGAGTCATGGTGCACCTGCCTGAAATGTCCCAACAACCTGAGAAACCAGGATACCGTTACTCTCCAGCCGTACCCACGTTTACCAGGAAGGCTTTAAAGCTTAGCAACAAATGCAGTCAGGGGTTACAGTCAGGATGGAAGGACCAACAAGAACTACAGAAATATTCGTGCAATGCTTCTAGCCATGCATGGCGTTCAGTAGAGAGAAATTTTTAAGTCAACCCAGAGCATGACGCTGTTCCTGCCATGGTCACTTGGATGTTTTCCACAGCTTCTGTGGGAGCAGGGGCCAAACTCTGAACCATTTTAGGAACTTCATGGGCTGCTTTCTCAGCTGGTGCTGGCCCAGCCGAGTGGTTAATAACAGCCCCTGCATCCCATCTTGAATCTTGTGTCCTGAGTGACTGCGATTGATTCAGAAGTCAGGATGCTGCATTCATTAGGTTCAGGATATTAACACTGCACAAAAGCTACGAAAGAATAAGGAAAAAGTTATAAACTATAAACATTTTTTTTTCCCAGGAGGCTCTGTTTTCCCCTGCAAACCTCCAAAGCCTTCCAGAGGGAGCTCACCTGGAGGAAGGGCACAGAAAGCTCCATCACTTTGGCTTTGCTGCAATAAGTTGGTTTTGCTTCTGGTTGTTCTAGAGATGGCAGTGGGAAGCAGAGTTTCCCTGTGGGCCTCTGAGTTTCCAAGTTTCTCTGACACTTTCAGGGAGATGCTACTTTTTTTTTCCTTAGAAATGTTTTAACTTGGATAAACTATCCAATTTAACTCCTTAGGGTCACTTTTTAGCATCTCTTTCAAATAACATACATCTTTTAGTCCAGCAAATGGAAAAGTGACTTTGTATTTTTTCCAGATGAAGAATACTGAAGTAAAACTTTATTTTTTTTAATGATAAATTAAAAGCAAACAAATTCTATTGCGGATTACTCCATCTTAAACCCAGGAGCAGAGCTGCTTGTACTGTAGTAGTTTGAGCCAGGAAGAAGCCCTTACAAGTTCCTAGTGATTCTGCATTGCTTTCACTGGGTTTGGGGCCAATTTGGCTAAACATGGTGCTCGATAGTCCTAGAAAATATTAGCAAGAAAGGATATATTGGGCAAATCCTCTCATCACATTTTCTCCATGATGACGGATAGTTCACCCAAGAGTGTTGCTTCCTCCTCCATGGCTGCCCTTGCCCAGATAATGCTGTTCCAGAGGGGAGAATAGGTGGACAGTCGCACATGCATCCAGCTTTCCAGGTCAGAAAGACGGGATGCGCTTTTTGAGTCGTACGCCTTGCTCTTTTTGCATGATCGAAGGCAAGGCAAGATGGAGGTGCAATGTCCCCAGCCCCACCTTTGGCGCTGCTACCACTCCAGAGACTTGGGACTTCTCCTGTCTCGCTTTCTGTACAGTGTTGGAGAAGGAAGAGGTGAGGTTGCTCACAGTGGTGAAGTGAGAAGGCGATGGTGCCCTTTGAGTGGTCTCATCCTTTCCCTGCATCCCAAACAAGGGGTAGGAGGAAGAAGCCCTGGTCGCTGTATGCCTGCAGACAGGGAAATTGGATTTTCCTCAATGAGAGGAAAAGTTAAAGGAAGTTTTAGGAACTGCTTTAATCATTAGCACTGCCTGAAAACCCAATGCATGTGGAGAAGAAAAAAAAAAGCCTCTTCAGAACCTTCCATATCTGAGCCCCAACACTGCAGGATCTTGCATGACGTGTACTAAATATCTCTTAAGGGTTAGTTTGATCCTGGTTTCATCACTTGGTGCATCCGATCCTGGTAATTTTGAGGTACAGGCAGCGTCCAGGAATGCAAGTGTGGTGTGGGATGAGCGCTGTCTGAAACGAAGGGCATCCCCTGCACTTGGAGGTAATTGAAGGGCAGGCAGCAGACCTGGCTGGAGGGGAAGGAGCCAAACAAGGTAAAGGAATTAGCAAGTCCTAGCTCCAGTGTGAGGACTGTTTGATTTAATTAAAATGTCTAGCACTGGGGGAAGTAATGAACTGTTTGTAAGCTGCATGATGAAATCCAGCTGTAGCCTGTTGAAAACACACAGACTGGTTTCCCTCAAGTTTCCAGAATGTGAGTACAGACAGTGCTTCATTTTTACAAGCGTAGTCTTGCACCTGCAGGATTATAGAGGGTGGATGAGCTGTTGTAACTCGAGAGAGAATGGGGTTTTTTACACCATTGGTGAGGCATTGCTGAGTCTGTCAGTGTTATTTCCAGGGCTGTACCCAGTTCTGTGGATAAAAGCCTTCAATCTCCAGGGCTGCTAGCTGGACAGCAGCCCCCGGTGCGCTGTATGTTGGCCTCAATTGGCAAAAACATCCTTTTGGAGAAGAGTTTATTTTAGAGGATGCAGAAATCTGTTTCCTCCAGGAAAAGGAGGGACTGTGTTTTGCTGAGATCAAGAACATTTGTGCACGTCTTAGTGGGTTGATGCTCTTGTGAGCGCGGAAAGGATGAGTTTTTCCTCAAAAAAAGCCCCAAACCAAAAACCTGCCGCTGTGGTGATCATCTTAAAAGTTGATCCTTCCCAATGCAGTGTTAGGTGGGATGTAGGTGATCTTGGGTAGGAAGTGTGAACTTGTCCTTCTGCTGAAATACTGGCTGATGCACATTGATAGACTCCCGGGTTTCAGCTCGGCTGAAGCGGTGCTTCCTTAGTAGAGGAGCGATTCACAAGAAAGTGAATTTTGTCTTCTCCGTGTTAAAGTTCGAACGGGTAGCTAGTTTCAGATGCAGCTTTTTTTTTTTTCTAGATCTTTGCATAATGTAGACATTACTTCTAAAGTTGAAACGTTAATTGCACTGTCACAAAAAGGTCCGTATTTACTTTCCCAGGCAGATGCTTAGTAAATAACTGCTAATAACTTTCTTTATTGCATTTCAGGGAGCAGCAGCTGGTCTCAGCTATGTTGGGGCATATGTCTTTAACACCTACAAGAGCTATGACAACTTTCTGCAGGACAAGTATGCTCTGTTGCCAGCCATGATCATTATTTGCGTCGCTGTGGTAATGTTCGTCATTGGGTTGATCGGCTGCTGTGCCACCTTCCGGGAGTCTCGAGTTGGTCTAGGGCTGGTAAGTGTTGCACGTTCTTGCATGTCCTCATCTTCACCCTGTTGCATGGTATGGGTGGTGCTACACCATACCTTCTCAGGATGTACAGAACAGAAAGTAAAACATTATTTTGAAATATACTGCTGAAGCACCGCTTCCTCGCGGGAGCGATGCACTGCTGTGACGCACTGATTGATGGTGAGTGAGGTGCAGGCTAAATTATTAGTTGCACTGCCTTGTACAGGCAAGTCCCTGCAGTCATGGGCAGCTTCATGGCTCTGCCTCAGCTAGCTTGCCGGGAAGAAGCGTGGAGAGTGGCCAGTTTTGTGAAGAAGGGTGATGGTGAGGGAACAGGAGATGTGAATTGCCAAAGCAAGCAAGCGCAAAACAAAAAAAAGTATTTTTCCATGGACTTTAGTTCTCTGAATCCTGAAAGTATGCCCCCACTTCTTCTAGACATTTTAAAAACCCAGAAAGGTTCAAGCTGAGTAACTTCAGGCCCTCAGGTCATGCCGTGAAGGCAATATGAGCTCAGCAAGCAGTGCCCAACGTACCTAACTAAGCTGCTGCTGGTTTGTTTGTGCAGTGTCCTGTTCAACGGCCGCCTTGTGAAGTGTTTTGTAGGCTCTTCCCACAGATCGCATCGTGGAGGTGTTCAGGAGGCTGCCTACATTGGGCACAGATCCTGTGGAACCATGGTCATAATCCCAGACATGCGCAGTAATCATTTTCTGGAAACTATTTTGGTTAGGGAGGCAACAACAGATAACAATAACTTACCACTATAAATTAACGTGAATGGGTAATGTGCAGTTGAACTCAAATGCTGTGGAATTCTTCCTTACAGTCTCTCTCTCTTAATTTCAGTTCTTGGCCATTATCCTGGTTATCTTTATTGCAGAAGTATCCGCTTTTGTCCTGGGATTTGTTTACAGGGAAAAGGTAAGCAAAGAATTAGTATCTCTGTATTAACCTAAAAGTAAAGAATAGATCTTGTGGTGTTAGAGCATTCCAGCATATCCAGTTTTCTTGCACTACACCCCAATCTGCAGGGAATGGGGATGGCACCATCTGCAGGCATCACAACAATCTCTAAGTTGGATTAAACCGTTGTTGATGCTCTCCCATCAGAAGAGGCTAGCTTCTATCCAGGAACGTGATTCTGCTTAAGCGCTACCTGCATTTTATCTAAAACATCACTTTGGTTTTATTTTTTAATTTTTTTTTTCCCCTTGACTTAGTTGGGATACAGATCTTTTGCAGTTTCCACTAGATAAAATTCTTAGCTCTCATGTTAAAACAATATGTATTTTTTTTTCCTCTCTAAATAGGTAAAAACTGACGTGCAAGGCACAATGCACTCAGTCTTTGGGAAGTATGATGGGAAAAACGCGGAGTCTTCTGTTGTGGATTACTTGCAAGAACATGTAAGAAAACATTTAAATTGTCCTGAGAATTATTTAGAAAAGAACAATTGGGTCCTAAGCAAGGAATTTGGGCTGGGAAGGGAGAGGAAGAGGGTCAGTGTGGTTGCATCCTGGAACTCAGCTCTGCAGTGGTCTTTAGCGTCTGATTCTCCAAGGCATTTGAGGGTGCTCCCCACTTTGCAGGGTTGGCATTTTTCAGGCTCCTGGTGTGAAGTTCATGTAAATGAATTATCTTGTTGATGCGAGCGGCCTTTGGATCAGAGCAAATGAGGACATGTGAGTAACTGCTGCTGAGAGCCCTGTACCATAAAATAGAAAGATGACAGAAGACTCTATCCTGCAACCTGTCACTTTAATATCAGAGCTTGCACAAAGAATAAACTATTAAGGAGGTAATAGTGTACAAAGGGAAGTTGATCTAATATATCTGCTACTATTTTCCTGAAATACTGCGACTTGTACATCTGCTGCATGCTGTGGGCAGCTCCTGCCCGGTGTGCGTAAGAGGTGTTCAATCCAATGTTAGCATTTGAGGTCATATATATTCATACATCCTTGTAACTATCCTGTGTTTGGCAGCTTCATTGTTGTGGGGTAAAGAACTACAGCGACTGGACGACCACGCAGTGGTTTAATTCCACCGGTAACAACAGCGTCCCTCTGAGCTGCTGCAGGCAAGACATGAAGAACTGCACGGGGCGTCTGGATCAGCCACAGGAACTCAACACGCGGGTGAGGAGAAAGGGCACAGTTTCACAACTAGGCCATGATCATTCTCAACCAGCCAACCAGCCAGAACCAATGAGGAAAGCACTTTAGACAGGGTTTAGGGACAACTTTGTCCAATTCCTTTCAGCATTTTTTCCCCCAAACCCTTCCATCCCTGTGGTTTTCCTCTAGCTATCTTCCTTCTCATATTATTCTATAGAAGCTCCTAGGTGATGAAGGAGGGGCACCAGTCTGGATTTTTGGTCTTGCCTGCTGGTAGCAGTCCTCCATTTCGTGTTGCCACAGAAGCAACGTGACAAGGCCAGAGTGCTAGCTATGGGCACGTAGTTCAAACAGACCTGGGGTAGAGGAAAAGACTCTTCCAGGACTGACCATGAATCTGGAGAATCACATACCAGGTTCTTCGGTCTGGGGCACAAGCCCAAAAATTGCCTTTTGTAGATACCATTTGCTGGTCTTCTTGGCTCTGAGTTCTGGGGGCTTCTTTAAGTGACCCGAGCCAGAGGAGATTCTAAGAAGCAGCAAATATCAGTGTCTCTCCCCAAGGAAGAGGTGAAAAACAAGCCATCGGGTCTGGAAGACAGGAATGGAAGCCCTCAGGTCTGCAGTGGTTGGTTAGTCAGGCCTCACAAGGTCCTGCTTCCTCTTAAGCATCGGGGAGGAAAAAAAGCCAAAAAACCATCCAGCTGAATTATATCTTCTGATTTGTTTTCACCCATCTCTTTCATGGCAGGGCTGCGCAGAGGAAGTGGAGTCTGGGCTGCAGAGTGTTATCAGCTACGCTATGCTTGTAATCCTGGGGTTTGCCATTGTAAAGGTAAACGTTTCATCTCTTCCCTCATGGAGAATAATACTGTTTATCCTTTGATCCCAGGGCTTTTTCTTCTACCATGTCCTATTAGCCTGCAGCCTTTTCCTGGCTCTGACGTAGACCCAGTCCTCTGTTCCTCACTTGTTTTCTTCCAACTTCCTCCATTTCATCTGCCTGATGATAAGGGGAGGAATCCAAAAAGCTAGTAGGAGATTTGGGATGGCAAGTCAACAGAGCATCCATCTTTGTCATTTGGTAGGAAGTACAAAAAGCTGGGTGCACTAAAAGGCCTCGCTCTAGAATTCCTTATTAAATCCACCAGCTTTGCTATATTTAATTGGGATTTAAAACGTTGCTCATCGAGGTTTGTTTTTAGGTATAACTCAGTGAATAGTCCTGTGCTTAAAGACCTGGATTCAAAATGGGCTAGAAATATGACTAGGAATGAAACCGGTGGGACTATTTATAGACTTGTCAAATTGCATTAAATGAAACGTGAAACCAGATCATCTTGTGGGTGAAAACTAGATTTGAAAAGCCCTGACGTGAAACTCCTTGCAATTGGCACATCACAAAGTTGAGTAGGCATTTCTTCAAAGATTTGACCCATAAATTTTAGCCTGCTAGCTTGTCATTGTTCCCTGTTCCTGTTCTCCAAGATTAGTAACCTGTTCCTTGTTGACAGAGATTTGAACCATTTAATAACAGTAAAGTGTTTTTTTCTTTTAATATCTGCTCTCTGTAGAAGAGTGGCTGTGAGTGAGCCGGTGCAGAGCACTTGCTGCTTAACATCCTACTCCTGAACTCAATGCAGAAGCCAAAAACCTGTCTAGATGACATCTTAGGACTGGGGCTTGACTTAGTTAAACTTTTCTTTTCTTAATTTTGGCCCTGGCAGAGAAGTGATTGTTTACAGGATTTGATCTCGTGGGCTTAAATGGCTCAGCAATGTTGTTTCCATTATTTCCCTTCATGTAAAAGTGATGAGTTCTACACTCCCATTAAATGTCCCGTTACTGTTTGTGATGAACCCTCCCACCAGGATCTCTCCCGTGATCATCTCTAAAGATTGCCTTAGCGTATTCTGCACTATCTTTATTTGCATATTTTATATGCATAAATATCTTACAGAACTCATTTAAAATGCTTTCACTGATTTTTTTCCCACAGTAAGATAACTGGGAATTCATGCGGTTGTGTAAATTAATGTGAGAAACCAGGGATGATAAAGCTGAGCTGGAACTATTATTGGAAATTGATATGCAAGAAAAAAAAAATCACTTTCTGTAGATGTGTTTTCTAAGTGTTTTTTAATACGAAAAGAATGTCCTTGCTATGATGATGAAGTCTAGTGAACATACAGGTGTTGGGTCCGATGACTGAAACAAAATACAGCAGAACTAAGTCTCTCTCTCCTCTCTTTTTCAGTTCTTTGGCATGCTGAGTGTCTGCGTGCTTACTTGCAAGAGAGAAGACAGTGGATATCAGCCTCTCTACTCGGGGGTGTTTGCTTAATAAAATATAAAGATCACTTTTTTTTTTTTCTTCCTGATGATAAAATAGACTTGTAAAGATGGACGCTAAAGGACAATTTGTGACCTTCTTGCTAAGTATTTTACTTTATGTACATGAAACAAAACATTGTGTATTGACTTGGGAAAGTTTCTTGCAGATGACATGAAATGGCAATTTACAGTAACGTACCCTGACCTTGCATACCACAGCTTTCTGTAAGGTTATCATGGATTTGGATTTGTGACTTTAGGCAGCACCAGACTCCAGGAAGAATCTTTCTTCTGCAGTTCTTTCTCCTACCCTGAAAACATGCAAAAGAAATGTTATTTTTAATCACTAAACTGATTAAGACTGCAAGGAGGGGTTTCAGTTGTCTGCAAAAAAACATCAGGTGATTCCCGTGGCGTGGTTAAACAGCAAAAAAAACTTTTGAACGCCAGGTTCAAATATTCTTCATAAGCACGGGGAGTAAGAATATGTTTTCTCTATATTTGACGGTGTTTCTATTTTTTTTTTTTTCTCCTTCTTATGGTCATATGTTGTAATTCAGTTTCCTGCAGAGGTTGTTAGTGCAAGACACCCCCGTGTTTCAAGTCTAGAACAGACATTTGAGTTGTTTTTTGAAGCAGCTGGCAAATGTGAACGATCCCAGGTTAGGAAGGGACGTGTGTCTTGAGCTTTTGGGCTCAGGACAGGTCTCTTTGGCTTGGTTTTTTTTTTGTCTTTTTTTTTTAATTATTATTATTTGACATTAAAAATTGCTTATGAAGCAGGGCTTTTGATTTTTTTTTTCTCCTTTTACTGCTGCATTTATGGTTTGTCTCGGGACCTACTATGTCTCTCCATTTAATGTAGAAGTTGCAAGAGTTATTGAGATGAATACAGGCTGGGAGATGGGAGTCACCAGACACGTCGGCACGGTGTGGTTGCGTCCGCAGGACTGCTGGAGGGGTTAGTGCTGCCGTCCCTGCGCCACGGAATGTCTGACTGCTTTTCACCACTAAAAAACATGATGATGCATTCTTGTACCAAGCAATTTCAATTAACCTCGGCTGGCGGCATCATGCGACTCCTTGTTTGCCGGTTTTCCTTAAAGGTCTGCCGAATGCAGTCGCTTCTTGGATTGCATCGCTGCTTTAAACATGGTCCTTCCTGAACACGTTTGTATGTTAAATCTGCTTCCCAGTTCTTCAGGGTTTCTTTGGTTGTTTTTAAAGCTGTGATGTGGGGAGGGAGGGAACACGGAGCTATTCCTCATTAGGGAATTGTGGCAAAGCAACAGTGGGTTGGCTTGGTTTTTCTTCGGAGAGGTAAGCACGCTATCCTTAGCGATAAAACTTTTGTAGCTAATTAGAAGAAAAGGAGTTTGGGGTAAATGTAAGCTTTTTATTTATCTTTTTTTTTTTTCGCCTCCGCCCCGAAAAGAAAGCAAGGGGTGATGATGATGGGGTCATACCAGTACGGGTATGTTGAAAAGTGACCTAATTTTGTTGAGGGCTTTGTTTTCTGTTGAATGCCGAAATAAACTTAATTTATATAACCAATTAAGAAACGCTGTGAGGGTCTGCTTTTGTGGGTGGTGGTTTTTTTTTCTTTCCGTTGGTGGAATCCCCGTCCCTGGGAGGGAACCGCAGCCGCAGGCCTCTCCCCTCAGCG